AATGCTGTCAAGATTTGAGCTAAGGTAAGAGCTGAAACCCGTCATTTGCACTTAGAGTTAAGAAATCATTGGTAACTGTGGATAGTTTCTAAGGGGTGATGGGCAATGGTAGTTCCAGATTTTGTGTCATTCAAGTAGTGTTTAGGGGTGGTGACTGGGTAGAAGTGAGGGTATGGGATTTGTCTTGATAGTGTGTTTGCAGAGTACTAACACAGGATTGAAAAACTGTCAACTGGCCATAGGAAGGGTTGGGAAGCTTGTGGAATTGTTCATCTGTCCCTTGGTGCCCTCATTATGATGGAGTCAAAAGCCAGAGAGCAATGGTTGAAGGAATGATGTGAGTTGAGGAAATGCAGAAATTTGGTTCATCGGTAGGAGAGAGATAAGTGGCAGTTAAAATGAGAAACAAAAACAAGAAAGGGATTTTTATTTCTAAAAATGAACACATCCTGTTATTTTTACACTATGCATGCAGCAGGTGGCTCTTCATAAGACCTGGTCTCTACAACAACCTAATAAATCACTTCTGGAACACTGACATTCACCACTGGCCCTTTTATTTTTAATACCAAAGTGAGCTATTAGGAAATTCTTGACAGAAACAGCTGAATGACATTACCAAAAGGCCTGATCCCAATTTGGATATTTGAAAAGTTTCAGTAACTTAAACTTAATTAAGCTACTTAATCCCCCCCCACACTTTTATCATTCTAACATACAGCAAAACTTCTGCAACAAAATTTTTCTTTAGAGGAGCCAAGAATCACGGTCCTATAAACCATGATAACAGGACTTATCTAGCGGTTTTGATGTAGAGAAGTTAGTTTCATTTTCATTTTTATTCAGAAATTCTACAAAGTCACATGCGCTGAATTTAAACACAGGCTGTGGATATATGAATTCAGCAAAGTTCCAGGATATAAAATTAATGTGCAGAAATCTGTTGCATTTCTATATACCAATAATGAAGCAGCAGAAAAAGAAATCAAGCAATCAATCCCATTTGCAATTGCACCAAAAACAATAAGATACCTATGAATAAACCTAACTAAAGAGGTAAAAGATCTCTACTCTGAAAACTGTAGAACCCTTAGAAAGAAATTGAAGAGGATACAAAGAAATGGAAAAGCATTCCATGCTCATGGATTGGAAGACCAAACACTGTTAAAATGTCTGTACCACCCAAAGCAATCTACACAGTTAATGCAATCCCTATCAAAATACCACCAGCATTGGGATGCCTGGGTGGCTCAGTCAGTTAAGGGTCCAACTCTTAATTACACCTCAGGTCATGATATCATGGTTCATGACTATAAGCCCCATATCAGGCTCTACACTGACAGTGCGGAGCCTGCTTAGGATTCTCCCTCTCTCTGTCTCTCCCCTGCTCATGCTCTCTCTCTCTCAAAATAAATAAATAAACTTTAAAAAATACCACCAGCATTTTTCACAGAGCTAGAACAAACAATCCTAAAATTTGCATGGAATCGCAAAAGACCTGAATAGCCAAAGAAATCCTGAAAAAGAAAACCAAAGCTGGAGGCATCACAATTCCAGACTTCAAGCTGTATTACAAAACTGTTATCGTCAACACAGTACAGTAATGACACAAAAACAGACACATAGATCAATGGAACAGAATAGAGGACCCAGAAATAGACCCACAAACATATGGCCAACTAATCTTTGACAAATAAGGAAAGAGTTTCCAGTGGAAAAAAGACAGTCTCTTTAGCAGTGGCGCCGGGAAAACTGTACAGCAACTTGCAGAAGAATGAAACTGGACCACTTTCTTACACCATACACAGAAATAAATTCAAAATGGATGAAAGACCTAAATGTAAGACAGGAAGCCATCAAAATCCGCGAGGAGAAAGCAGGCAAAAACCTCTTTGCCCTTGGCTGCAGCAACTTCTTAACACATCTCCAGAGGCAAAGGACACAAAAGCAAAATGAACTATTGGGACCTCATCAAAATAAAAGGCTTCTAAACAGCAAAGGAAACAATCAGCAAAACTAAAAGGCAACCGACAGAATGGGAGAAGATACTTGTAAACGACATATCAGATAAATGGTTAGTATCCAAAATCTATAAAGAACATCAAGCTCAGCATCCAAAAAACAAATAACCCAGTTATGAAATGGGCAGAAGAGGGATGCCAGGGTGTCTCAGTTGGTTAAGCATCCAACTTCAGCCTAGGTCATGATCTCGCTGTTCCTGAGTTCAAGTCCTGAATTGGGCTCTGTGCTGACAGTTCAGAGCCTAGAGCCTGTTTCAGATTCTGTGTCTCCCTCTCTCTCTCTGCCCCACCCCCACTCAGGCTTTGTCTCTCTCAAAAATAAACATTAAAACAAATTGTTTTAAAGAAATGGGCAGAAGACATGAATAGACACTTCTCCAAAGGAGACATCCAGATGGCTGACAGACACATGAAAAGATGCTCAACATCACTCATCATCTGGGAAATACAAATCAGAACCACAATGAGATACCAACTCACACCTGTCAGAATGGCTAACAAGTCAGGCAACAACAGATTTTGGCGAGGATGCAGAGAAAGAGGATCTCTTTTGCACTGCTGGTGAGAATGCAAACTGGTGTAGCCACTCTGGAAAACAATATGAAGTTCCTAAAAAAATTAAAAGCAGAACTACTCTGTGACCCAGCAATTGCACTACTAGGTATTTATCCAACGGATATAGGTGTGTTGTTTCAAAGGGGAACATGCACCCCAATGTTTATAGCAGCATTATTGACAATAGCCAAAGTATGGAAAGAGCCCAAATGTCCATCAATGTATGAATGGATAAATAAAATGGGGTGTATACACACACACACACACACACAATGGAATATTACTCAGCCATCAAAAAGAATGAAATCTTGCCATTTGCAATGGTGTCAATGGAGCTAGAATGCATTATGCTAAGCGAAATGTCAATCAGAGAGAGAAAAATAATATGTGATTTCACTCATATGTGGAACTTAAGTAACAAAACAAATGAACAGAGTGAGGGGGAGAGGAGAAAGGGAAACAACAAGAGACTCTTAATAATAGAGAACAAACCGAGGGTTGATGGAACGAGGTGGGTGGGGGATGGGTTAGATGTGTGAGGGGTATTAAGGAGGATACTTGTTGTAATGAGCACTGGGTGTTGTATGTAAGTGATGAATCACTGAATTCTACTCCTGAAATCAATATTGCACTGTATGTTAAGTAACTAAAATTTAGAAAACATAATAAATACAGGATATGGGCACAGAACCCAGCTCACTCAGGTGTTAGATGAGGCTCAGGTGGGTCTTAGGTTTTTGCCTACCAGCTGTACTGATGTGCTCATTTTTGTTGCTGTCTTGTTTTCTTATTACTCCTGAGCTTTTGAACCTGTTTTCCACTGGAGTAGCCAAAAAGATACAAGATTGTCTGGGTAACTCATGCAAATGGGTTTTAACCTTGAAGATCTGGCTTCTAAATTCACAGGGGTCCCTCATCAGTTAGAGCTAGGTGGCAGATTTTAACTCACAACACCCAGTGAAAGGCAAGCATTATCAGGTGCACTGTTAGGATCTACAAGTGCACTGCCCAAGCGTTGAGATCTTGGTTCCTGGCAAATCTCCTAGGATCCCCCCAGGGCTTTCCAATCCAATTTTGATGAATCAAAACCTAGGGACTGAAGGGAACATAACCTCAAAACGCTCCTATGAAGGGTGTGGAAAACAGGAATCCTTTTAACAAATACCTACTCCCAAATATCAATCCCCATAATCTGTACTCACAAACTTGGTGGTTAAAAATGGAATTTATGTCTCTTGCCATTTCAAGAGTTTTCTCTATTATTAGATTATATTCTCATACTTCTATCAAGGTGCAGTGGTTGGGGAGATGCTGGCCCTTTAAGGGGGCAGCAAAGGAGGGGCTGGGACTCTTAAAGCCAGGGCAGCAAGCAAGCCAGGCCCAGGCTGCCATGGCTAAACTAAGTGGAAAGAACAGCAACAGTCCAGTGGTGGGTGTCAACAACAAGGCAGCTGTGAGGCCTCCAGGCCAAGTGTGTATTTGTGTGGAAGTGCTTCTCCAATTCCAAACTCTGTCCCTCATTTCTGACCCTTTGCTCCCTGCAGCTGGACTGGTGAGGGCACAGCATGGGGCTTTAAAACAGTCTGAAAGCCCATGTCCTGCTTCAAGATGCTGGGCCAATACTCCTCTGACAACCTTGCTAGGGGGAGAACATGGCTCTTTGAGGATGGATGCCATGACATCCTTACTGAGAAGGAGGGTATCTCTGGGTTTCTTCCCTGTCTCAGGTTTACCTTCCAGAGGCGGATGGTGTTATCTTACCAGAGGAAACAGCCATGGCGGAAGTGTGCAAGCCTGCCAAGATGACATGTCTTGAAGGTATTGACAATTAGGTTGTGATATCTGGATGAAAAGCCTTGGGGTACAGAGACTTGATGGTCTGGTTCAGTGGATGGATATGGGCCTGGGTGTCCAGAATTACTGGCAGTGACTTCCAAACTCTTTGACTTGCTAGCTACATCACACTGGTGACTGAGGTCACTTTTCTGGGCCCTATTTTCCTCTGCTCCATTGTGAAATTATCAATAACAGCCTTGCAGGACTGCTCAGCATTAAAAGGACACATACATGTAAGGTATCTGGTGCATAGTAGGCTTAAATTGCAGTGGGTCCTGGTAGCTGGAACTTGATTGGTTAAGAAGGCACTCAGGGCTGTTATGTGGGGGAGAGCAAGTAGAGAAATCTGGGGTAGTACTTAGGCAATTGGAGAGCTATGGAAAGCAAAAGTGGTTGACACCTGTCAGGTTCCATTTGTGCTAGGGGAGTGGTTAGGGGCAGGTAACGAGGGGGAGACATTGTTTGAAGAGGGTGCTGGAGGTGACTTGTAAACAGAGGTGCTACTGAGAATCAGCCTCTCTAGAAAAGACTCTTCATGCCTGAGTCCCCATCTACTCCCTCCTCAGGCCCCCACTTAAACCGAGGCCTGAGCAAGAGCTGTGGCTCCTTGGCTCCTGAGGAGGAGCCAGTATCTGCCTCCCAAATGGAAGACGAGGAGGAGGAGGAGGAGATGGATTTGGATCCAGATCTAACCCCAGACCTGGAGGAGGAGGAAGAGGAGGATGAGGAAGAGAGTGATCTCGGGGATCCAGCTGTCCTCAATGCTGTCCACAACACCCAGGTACCAGGACAGGAGGGGGTGGGGTAACTGTTGTCCTGAACCATCTGCGGCTTACAGACTGTTGCTAAATATCCTTCTCTTCACTCCTTTCTAGTCCCTCGCTTTAATCATTTGGCCATGACTACATGACCTCCACACCTTTCTAAGATAAGTTCTGGGTTAACATTTTCTATTTTAGGCTTGAACCTGAGTAGAGACACTCTCCTTCCTCCTTCCTATTTCCCACTTAGTTTCTGATGCTGTCTTCACCTTAAAAACCAGGTCCTAGAAGGGTTGTGCATAGCCCATAGGTGCTCGTCCAGCTCCTGGTGCTGAAGGTGAGTTTTCTTTGACCCTAGGCCCCATGTTTCAGCAGTTCATTCCTGGTATTTATTCCCCTGGATTCCCACAACCAGTGGAGAGAGACCAGGGTTCCCAAACAGAAATGAAATCACTCAGATTCTCCCTCAACTCACTTCTGAGATACCAGTCTTGCCTCCCCTCAAAGGAAGCAGAGAGGTCCTGATACAGTTGATTTTGATTACAACAAAGGGTCAGGCTTCCACTGTCTTGATTATTGGAAGTGGTTGGCCTTCCCGCACCCCAAACCCAGTGGATGCTGATGACCACATGGCTCTTTCAAGCCTCAGTCTTCCTCCCATTCTAGAGAGGTCTTCTCAACTCCCCTGGAATCAAGGCCTCTGGTGTGTTGGGGATGTCACCTGCTTCCTTGCACTTTCTGTGGCAGGTGAGTCACTTCATTATCCATCCTGTGAGAAAGTAATGGTGTGTGGAGAAGGAGCATGTGGAGTGTACCTTAGTCTGTTCTTGACCTTGCTCTGGAAATGGAGCACCCCAAGTGAGGTGCAGGTATGGGAGGCAGGAGATACCTATAGTCTAGGGAAGGTTGTTAAATTTTTTTTTTTCAACGTTCATTTATTTTTGGGACAGAGAGAGACAGAGCATGAACGGGGGAGGGGCAGAGAGAGAGGGAGACACAGAATCGGAAACAGGCTCCAGGCTCCGAGCCATCAGCCCAGAGCCTGACGCAGGGCTCGAACTCACGGACTGCGAGATCGTGACCTGGCTGAAGTCGGACGCTCAACCGACTGCGCCACCCAGGCGCCCCTAGGGAAGGTTGTTAAGTGGTAGAGGTGGTCAGGGGACAACTGGCCATCCAAGTAAAAAAGACAAACTAGAGCCATCCTTTCACCTCCCAATGTTTCAGCAGATGAGCAGCATTGAGCTTAGGGCTGGAAAGAGCACCTGCCCTTAGGTTAACTGTGTAATGAGAACATGGCATGGGGTAGAGGAATTGCAGGAAAGCCTACAGGGAGAATAAGAAGACAATTGCAGCTCTTGGGAGGAGGAGTCCAAAAAGAGGCAAAGAAGCATTGCCCCAGTAGCTGAAGGTACAAGAGTCTGAGGGAAGACCATCACAGAGAGGAGAGACCGAGACCAGTGATGACTCACCAGACAGGAAAAGTGTATGCCCCCACACTATCAGGGACTAAGGAGCTGCTCCCTAGGAGGTGACCAACTCTGTTGGGTGAGGTTCTTATGGGAGAAAAGGCAGGTGACAATATAAAGTTGGGAAAGGCATGTGGCAGCAAGAGCAGCATTTGTTGCTGAAGATGCCCTTTTCCCAGACCTCCAAATTCCTCTCTCAGACGCTGGACTACCTCTCTCCTGTTCCTTTCCGGACTACCTTTTCCAGTGCCAGCTCTCCAGCACGACACTTTGGACCTCGACTTCTCCTACCAGACCTAACTCTCTTCTGCAGCCCACCAACCTCATGGCCCCCTAGTTTCAGGTACTGGCTTAGTGAGCTGGGCATCCCAGTGTCTACCACAGGCTGAACTCTTCTCCAGAGGTTCAGAAAGTAGTGGTTTGAGGAGGGGTGGAGCCACTCCACCAACTGCCACAGAAAAACACCTACAGAAACTTAGTAAGAGAAGTGTGTGGTAGGGTCCAGTCATTTTCCCCTCACAGATGAGGAAATCGAGGCCCAGAAGGACTAAAAACTTACTTGAGGTTAGCTGCCATGGCAGAACTCAAGTTAGGACAGAACTCCCAACAACCAGGCCAAGTCGTTTTCTCTTGTGTCAAGATTTCCCGCAGCCAAATTGCAGGAAAATGTATCTTGGAGGGGAAAGTGAGCCCTGCTGAGCTAGGGTTGTGGTGTTTTGTGTGGCTGACTTTGGGGGAGGAACATGAACAGATGGAGCTGCTTTAGATGTCCAACTGAGGTTACCAGAGGCTAATTGAATGGGAGGGCAGGGAGCTGAGTGCTTTCTTTCACCCAGCCCAAGTTTCTTTCTAAGTCTTCCTAGTCATCTGACCCAGCTCCACCCTCAGCACCAACGGATCTTGCAGCTGCAGCAACATAGTCGAACACCAAGGTAAAGTCTGGATGGGCAGCGGGGTTGAGGGCAGCTCGTATGCATGCTGAGTATTCCTATGTGATTGGGCATCTCTCCAAAGCCCCTACACAAATAACACTCTCCCAGTGTTGCCCACCTATGCACTCTGTTCCATCCTGCCCAGATGGCTCCACTCCCTGCTTAACTCTCCTTGGGACATTCACTGTGCAGGGGTGGGAAGGTCTAAAGGAATGTTCCTTCTGGCTTAAAGTCCCCCAGCCAAGAAGCCTTGGTCTCAGCAGCCAGACCCCTATGTTAACCTCATGACCCGAAAAGAGAAAGACTGGGTGATAAAAGTACAGATGGTTCAGCTGCAGAGTGAGAACCCCTGCCTGGATGACTATTACTACCAGGTGAGCCCCAGGTGCTCTTCTCCGCCTCTGACCTTGGTGTCAAATGGACCTGGACTCCATCAGCCCTCTTGGGTCATTTTTCCAGCTTTTAGAGGCCATGTCCAGTCAGGTGGGAGAGACCATCCCTACAGGATAGGGGCCATATTTCTAAAGCTGACATCCCAAGATCGTTATCCTCTATTCTCCTACACTTCAGACAAATGGGATTATTTACAATTCCCCAAACATTGACATTTTGTCTTCATCCTTTGCCAAGAATTTCCCCTACTCAGCCTTGAAATAAGAACTTTTCTGCCTTTGTACAATTTTGTGGATCTTAGAAATGTCTTGTTATAAACCTTCACCTACTTTGTGCTTTTTTAGATATGATACATGAATCTCCTAAATAGTGGGATTCAATTTGTTGAATAAATGCCAGCAGAAATTTTCACTCCTTACCCTCTGTTCCCTATCTCCCTTTTATTTATGAGGCAGGTCTTACCTACTGATTTTGGATGTTGTCTAAGCTGTGTTACACTTTCTTGTCAACTTCTATGAGCCCCATACCAAGTTTCCGACCCTTAACCCCTTCCTATTTAGACTAATTTCTTTCTTCCTTTCCACCATGCTTCAAAAACTCTTCTTTCTGCCCAGATGACTGAAAGCAAAATATTTTTATACTCTTGACTTTTTGGCACTGCTTCTAAGTGAAAGAACTTTATTTAAATCCTTGTTTGACTCACAGTCAGTGGCTTTATTTAGCTTGGGATTTTACAGATTTCTTTGAGAAGATACTAGAGCTGCTGGGCCATTCCTCAGAAGCATAAAACTGGCCTAGAGTGCTATTGGCTACTGGCCAGTTGACAATAGTGCCATCTCTGTACTGCAAGCTCCTCATGGTTCTTCATGCCATCAGATAACTGTAATTTGGGAAAGCACAGGTACAATCACAAAACTAAACAGGGGTTGGGGGCGGAAGATGTGTGCAGTGTGTATACTGGGAATAAGGAATGAAAGAAGGTTGCAGATGTTGGGAAAGGTTTGCTTCCTGGATTTCCACCTTGCTCTCTGCCTTTTCATCAGATCTGGTGGTGGTATCTAGCTCCTCAAGTCCTTAGTACGGAGACCCCAATACAGATGGCACGATGCCCAACTCAAGATGTCGGTGGAAAGGCCTAAAGTGCCAAGATCATTTCTGAAATGAATGCTGTAGGAAAGGATGTATTAAGAGGTTGCATTTAAGAACCTTAATTCTAAGTTGAGATGAGGATACATTTTTCTATTCCATGGACTCTCAGGAATATTATCAGAAACTAGAGAAGAAGCAGACAGAGGAAGAACTACTGGGGCGAAGGACCAAGGTTGAATCCCTCAAGCTGGTAACACCTTACATTCAGAAGGCGGAGGCTTATGAGTCAGGTGGGACCAGGGCTGACATGGTGGGTTGGGATAGACATCCGGATGAACAGAGGGTGGAGAGGGGAAGGGAATGTGTTTTTTTGACTCCTTTTTGTGCAGTGGTTCGAATCGAGGGTTCCCTGGGCCAGGTAGCTGTATCAACATGTTTTAGCCCTCGTCGAGCTATTGATGCTGTACCCCATGGATCTCAAGAGCAGGTAGAAGTGTTAACTCTACAGAACCCTTTTTGTCTCCCCTGTTTTGGAGAAAGGACTGGGGCATTGTCATGCTTGAGATCAGATTGTGACCTAAGAGTGATAAAGAAGTGTGGTCAGACTTTGTGTTAGCCTTTCTGGCTCAATTTGTAGCTCGCTTGAGGCCTGGGCTGCTGCTATGGAGGTGTGGCTGATGGCCTGGGACTCTCTCCTAGGAGATGGGAGCTGCAAGCAGTCAGAGGCTTCAGGTGTTGTCCCGGATTGAGAAGGTGAGCTATCAAGTCCTTAGGGATGAGTTCCTAATTGACCCTTGAGAATGGAATATTGCTCATATTGAACTCTTCCTCTTTTCCCACCCTCAAATTGCCAGATGTTCATTCAGTTACTAGAGCTAGAACAGGGCCAGAAGGATGGGCCTCAACAGCCCTGCTACTCCGAACAGCAGAGCAACCAGGTTGAGAAGCTCTTCCAGGCCTTAAAGACCCAGGAGCAGAATAATCTGGAGTGAGTGTGGGAGGGTCACACCTCCAGCCCAGGAAGGGCAAGATGAGCAAAGACACTGACTTTGCTTCTGCCCCCTTGTTTCTGGCATGTAGCCAGAGCCCTCTATACAGAGCCCTGAAAATGTTCTCCTTTCTCGAATGTAGGGAGGCAGCAGATGGCTTCCTGCAGGTGCTCTCCGTGAGGAAGGGGAAAGCTCTGGTGGCAAGGCTGCTCCCTTTCCTGCCCCAGGATCAAGCTGTTCGCATTCTTCTAGCTATCACCCACCATTTGCCCCTCCTAGTCAGAAGGGATGTTGCCGATCAGGTATTGTGGCACTGAGCAGAGGATACTTTTGTGGATGGGTGAGGGATCCTTCCACTTCATCCTCTGTCCCCCACCCCCAGAGATGCTGAAGAAAGTGCTGGGCATGGGGAGGTCAACCTGACACCCTCAGGTGGGTGAGTTCCAGAACAAACTACTGTAGGAACAACTGATGAACTTTAGGTACAATAAACAAAATACAGGCATGTGTTGGCACAGGTGTGAGTGTGCTGTGGAGGTTTGAGAAGATAAGGACTCCCTGAGAAGTGCGAGCCCCATGTCCAACTTTCTTAGGGAAGGCATCCTAAATAAGTGGGTATTGAAGGACCAGTATTCAGATTGGAGAGACATGAATAATGATAGGCTGGGGAAGTAACCTGACCAGGAAAGTGCCAAAAGCAGGTCAGCAAGAAAAGGGGGTAGAGGAAAAGTAGGAGGAGGTGAAGTTGTAGTGAAATCTGAGAGAGGCACTTACCTTCTTGCAGGCCCTACAAATGTTATTCAAACCTCTGGGCAAATGTATCAGTTACTTGACCTTCCATGAACTCCTCCAAGGACTTCAGGGGCTAATGCTGTTTCCGCCTGGCTCCTCAGAGCGACCAGTCACTGTGATCCTTCAGAACCAGGTAACACAGGGTGGAGGCTTTTCTCTTGCCACAGATGGCTTTCAGGTGCTATCACAGGCAAGGAATAAGCAAGGGAGTGCTAACTTTGCATCTTTGCTGCAGTGCTCCTCCATATTTAGTAAGCACTAGGATCACCTGAAAAACTCACAGAACACCGGTTCCTTGGTCTGCACCCTTAGAGAGTCTCATTTAGTAGACTTGGAGTGTGGCCCATGTATTTGTTTTTCTAACAAGCTCCCTGATGGTGCTGAGGTGGACCTCTAGAGCAGAGGTCACCAAACTTTTTTTGTTTTTGTCTTTAATTTTTTTTTTACATTTATACATTTTTGAGAGTGAGACAGAGCATAAGCGGGGGGAGGGGCAGAGAGAGAGGGAGACACAGAATCCGAAGCAGGCTCCAGGCTCTGAGCTGTCAGCACAGGGCCCAACGCGGGGCTCGAACTCATGGACTGCCAGATCATGACCTGAGCTGAAGTTGGACGCTTAACCGACTGAGACACCCAGGCGCCCCGTCACCAAACTTTATTATCTCTTTTAGTAAAAAGCTCTGAATCCTGTCCCCCATGTGCTTGTCTATGGATCCTACACATGTGAAACTATACTAAGTATATACCTTTATTATGTAAATAGAAAGATAGAAAAACTTAAGTGAAGACTCTAGATGTGAAAGTTCTGATACCTTCTAATTACCCCAATGGTATATCTTGTGAACCCCTCTCTGAAGATCTTTGCCTAAAGTAATGTTTCATTCAGTGGGGTCCACAAACTACCTGCATCAGATTCCTGGGTCTATTCCTGATGTATAGACTCTGACTCCTGAGAGTAGAACCCACAAGTGTGCATTTAATCAACTCTCCACAAGGATCTTCTGGAAACTTGAAAGCAGAGATTTCCTTCTAAAGGTCTGAGAGTTCTTTGGCCAGCCATTGTAAAACCTGACCACTTTACAAGTGTTGTACTCTATTTTTACATGTGAACCTTCCCTTTTAATTGGGAACGTGGCAGAGCCAGGAAAGCACTGCTTGCCTATGGTGAACTCCTCTTACCTTGGATATTCTATCACTTGCAGTTTGGAATTTCTTTGCTCTATGCCCTGCTGAGTCATGGGGAGCAGCTGGTATCCCTGGAGTCTTCTCTTAAGGAGTCCAATAGTGATAATTCAGCTTGGTAAGATCTTAGGGCCTTGTAAATACTATGTCAGTACCCCTGGGATGTATAGGCTGAGTCAGATGAGCTATTTCTTGAGTGGTATATTCTAGTATTGGGAAGGAAGTTGTATAGAGAAGGGAAGTTGTATAAAGACAGAGACAGAGCATGAGCATGTGAGGGGCAGGGAGTGGGTGGGGGGGTGGGGGGTACACAGAATCTGAAGCAGGCTCCAGGCTGTCAACACAGAGCCTGACGCAGGGCTCAAAGCCCCAAACCGTGCGGCAAGACCCCTGCTGGAAGCAGCCACTTTTCCCCGTGTCCCCCAGACACACCCCCCCCCCCCCGACCGCCGCCACCTTTTTTCAATGTTTATATACTTGAGAGAAGCAGAATATGGGTGGGGGTGGGGCAGAGAGGGAGACAAAGAATCTGAAGCAGGCTCCGGGATCTGAGCTGTCAGGCCACGTGGGGCTCAAACTCATAACCAGTGAGATCATGACCTGAGCTGAAGTGGGACACTTAACCAACTGAGCCACCCAGGTGCTCCTTTTTTTTGTTTTTTCTTTTTTTTTTTTAATATTTATATTGCTCACGCATGAGCATGAGCAGGGGAGGGGCAGAGCGACTGAGAATCTGAAGCAAGGAACTTCAGAGTTCTTAATATAAGAAGGAGCATATGTAAAGCACTAAGCATTGTTTGGCACATAGAAACTCTGCAAATGTTCCCTTAATTGCTACAAGCACAAAGGCTGATAGTGGTGGTGGAAAAATAACTAGGAACCTTGGCCTTGAGTTCTGTTTACTACATAAATACAAAGACTCTGAGATTTTCTGTCTTTTCTGCCCTCCAGGACAGACATGGTGGTTCTGATTGCCTGGGAGATCGCCCATATGCCGACAGCCTCTCTGGCAGAACCCTTAGCCTTCCCCAGCAACCTTCTTCCTCTGTTTTGTCACCATGTGGACAAACAATTGGTACAGCAGCTAGGGGAGAGGATGGAGTAAGTGATGGCAGAAACAAGGTCCTAGCCCCTTGTTCAAGCCCAGTCTAGTTTCTGTCACTTAGTTCTTGTTTTAAGCTAAGAATATGAAGGATACCTTGTTTTTAGAAGTTGTTCCAGATACCAGCATTTACTGAGTAACCAGTTGGTCCATATTAGGGCTGTGAGGCCTATTTCTTCAGTCAGACTTTTTTATTTATTCCCAGATGGCTTTCCTCACTTACCCTAAACTACTTAAGGGCAAGGATGAATAGAAGCTGAATGGTTAATTGAAGAAATATTTGAGGGACAACTACTCTAAGATAAAAGTATGAACAACATGAAAGGTCACTTGTGTCCTCAGAATTTACCATCTGCTGGAAGGAGTCAGATACTAATCAAATCACACAAATATTTTAGAAAATATAATTGTTTACAGTTAACATCTGTTCTCTTTGTAGGCTTGCTTGGATCTACTGATCCAGTTGTGCTGGAACATGTACATGTAGGAAAAGTTTAATCATCAGACACTGGCTATATGAGCTATGTCTTCAGAGATCCAGAGAGTCCAAGGACATTTCTTATGCCTTGATACATTGAAGGACCCCAACCAAAACATTTTTTGATGCTTGCATTAAAAACCTGTGTGATATGCCTAAAATGGCATGGCATGATAAGGTATAATTAAAGAGCTAAAAGAATAATGTGTTCAAACTTGTTATAAGTTAGGAGATGCAACTTGTGAATGCCCTAAGAAAGTCCTTAATAAAAGGGACAAGGTCTTGTTATGTCTAACAAAAGTATGACCTGGAAATTTCTTTACTGTTTCCATTTTTTTTTTTCCTGGTGTATTTATTTACTTTGAGAGAAAAGAGGGAAGGAGCAGAGAAAGAGAGAGGGAAAGAATCCCAAGCAGGCTCCAGTGGGGAGCCTGATGTGGGGTTAGAACTCAAAGTGTGAGGTCATGACCTGAGCTGAAATCAAGAGTCATGACACTTACCTGACTGAGCCAAACAGGTGCCCCCACTACTGCCATTTTGTATAAAGAGAAAGTAGCCCTCTTGAAGCTAATAGGATTGGCTATAAATATCTCCCTTGGGGTATGAAATGTTTGTTGATGAATACATGACCTTGTTTGTCAAGTTAAATTAATCACTGGAATCCCTTTTTTGAACCAGGCACATTTTAGGTGGTAGAGTAACAGCAGTGAAAACTCCCTGCTCTACTGAAGGTTACATTCTGGTTAGTCAGGGGCTGATGCAAAACATCAAGTTGTGATCAATACCTTGGTGTGTTAGGAGTGACTGCAGTGTAATGGTCCAGGAAGGACTGTCAACAGTGGTTACAATTAAGTAGAAGGGAAAGTATTCCACACAGAGGAACTACTGAGCACAAAGCTGCCAAGTGAGAATTAATTTAATGTGTTTCAGAAAAAGAAGGAAAAGTATGGCTAAAGTACACAGAGAAGGTGGGAGGGTGATGAGGTTGGAGAGAGGTTAGGCAAGGTATAGATTTATAAGCCATGACTTAAATATTGGAATTTTAACTAATGGGAAGTCCAAATTTTAAACTGGAAAGTGATGTGACTTCATTTTTAGGTCACTCTGGCCTGCTTATTGTTAGAGGAAGAAGGGAGAAAGCAGAGAAAAATGTTAAGAGGTTTCTTCCATCAGTTCAAGCAAAACTTGAAGAGCAGGGGCAGAGAAAGCAGAGAAGAAATTTGGAGTAGGTCTTGGAAGTAAGAGTTGGCAGACATTGCTGATAGGCTTGGTAACAGTGGGGGTTGATAGGCTTGATAACCGTGGTTACTTGGATGACTTCAAGTAAAGTGAATGGTGGGTGCCCCATACTGAAGTGGAGGGAAAAAACAAGGAAAATAGGGCTTGGGGGGAGGATGGTTAAGAAGAGTCAACTAAGAATTTTCTTAAGGGGATATAAAAACGACAGCAGGTAGTGGTCTGTGTACCTTAAGGGAGGATTTCTTTTAAGAATATCATGTGGACTTGATATAATATCAAACACCCCAATAAAGGGGGAGAAAGCAATGCAGAAGAAAAAATTTTACACACTCAAAGTCTTAGAACAAGAAGGATGTGAGAAGGATGTGAATCAAAGCACAAACGGAGGAGTTGGCCTTTGGTTACCTGTGTGTGAATGTGTTAAAATAGTGATGTTTATTAGACCTTCCCAAATTCCTATTACACACCTCTTCTTCACCCTCTCTGTTCTGCTCCAGCTCTGAAGATCTTTCATCATACTTCCCTGATAAAAGACTAGTAATGATACATGAAACTCTACCACCACCCCACCTTTACTACCCTATTTCTTTGCCCTTTACAATGGATATTATTTGACTTCAACATTCAGGTCAACTCCCAACAAGAGAGCAGTCCACATTACCAAAGACGTGATACCACCCAGGTCCTGTAAGCGAAAATAACAGTAGGATAGTAAAAGCAAAGGAGAGAGAGAGAGGCAGAGAGAGGCAGAAACCGGGTTCCAACAGATGGAAAGCATTTAGAGTAAAAATACAGAGGGTAATGCCCCAGAGCGAGTAAAGTTGCTGCAGCCTGCCTTAAGCCGCTAAATGTGGTCCTTAATTCTTTCAGGGTAGTTAAGCAAACAGGCTTGAGGAAAAGGCAGATGCAGTTTTGTGGGACAGGTTGGTGCCGGCCTCCATAGGCGAGAAATGCAATCAGCCGAGACAGCTCAGCTGTCTATGCCGGAGTCACGAGACAGCGAGCGAGGCGGCTACACTGCGCATGCCCAGGACGCAGATCGGCTCAGGTGACCGGAAGAAATGGCCGGACCAAAATGGCTGCAGAAGAAGCAGCCGGCAGGGCTGCCAGCTGGGGCAGTTGCAGCTCTAAAACCATGGAGCGGGTTCTACCTATGTTGTTGGTGCCAGTCCCAGCGGAGGCAACACGGCGGCTGGGATCTCGGGCACAGTTGCACAGAGAGCAGGAGGTTCTGGGGAGCCTAACAGCTGCAGGCAGCCTGCAAGTGCTTTCCTTGGCGCCGAGCGGCCGGAGTGGGGGTGCCTGCTGCCTCAATGGTCCCTTTCGGCAGTAAGTGCTGCGGGAAGGCTGGGCAGTGTGGGAGGAGTCCGGAGCCTTAGTTCGGCTGGCCCCAGTACTCCCCTCCGGGTGTGAGGGTAGCCGGGAGAGGAGTGATAAACACCTGAGAGGTGATCTAGGTGCCCTCTTAGAACCTTTTTCTCGCTTTGCAGCCCCACCCTCCCTTCCCTTGTGAGGGGAGTGATAGGGGGTGGGAACAGAGAAGGTATTCAGCTCCTTTGCTGGCCGCAGGGAACCTGGAGTGGGTCCCAGCTCGGGCGCTGATAAATTCAGCATAGGTTGATTAATCGTTACTGTGCTGTGTACCGTGCCCATTTTCTTTCAGTTAAATCCCTTAAAGATACCAGTTGGGGACAATCTCTAATTTGAATCATCTTGATACCTTTTTCTTGTGCACGAAACAGCGACTTCCTTCACACACGGACCCTTCCCCCCCGCCTGCCTCCCTTCTTCAAGGATAGAGCCTCGTTTGCCCACTCATTTATTGTTTAACAAATATTTATTACACGCTTACTGTTATATAGGAGCAGTGCCCCAGAAGTTGAACAAAATAGCAAAGGTTGCGTGATTTGGGAAGACCGAAAAAAACAAACAAAACAAAACACCTAGTTATAATCCTGTACTAACTTTCCACTTGTGTAACTCTCCGGACAGGAGTTAGAGTTTATGTCATTAAGTTTGAGAGTGTCCTCTGAGTCTTTGGGCTTTTTTTTTTTTTTTTTTTATTTTTTTACCCTTAAGTTTTATTTATGTGATCTCTACACTCAGCATAGGGCTGGAACTCACAACCCAAGGTCAAAAATCGTATGTTTTCTGACTGAACCAGCCAGGCACTCCTGGGCTCTTTTTAATAACAAAACGTTTTGGAAACGATCTCCTCTTTAAAACTTAATGTAGTCAAGAGGTGTCTTGTCTTGGAATCTCCAGGTTCTGTAACAGTGCCTGACAGTAGAGATGTGTTTGTTAAATAAGCAACTGGTTTACTCGGTTTGGTATTTGTATTTTTTACTCCTGATTTCTAGCTGATAGGAAGAACAATCTCTCCATAACGGAAGTTAGTTTATTCAACTGCTTTAAGTACCTATGGTCACAGTCCCCTAAAGAAAGGAATGAGAGAAAAGCAGAACTCTTTAGGTGTTTGAGACTTAACAGAAGATAAGGCATGTACACATGAAATGAAGGCGTTTGTAAACTGCATGAAATTACTAGAAGGAAGAAGGATTAAGAGGGATTTATTTTTTATTTGAATTGAATTTTAATTCAAGTACTTCATATGGTAAAAAATAAGGATAAATCTATAGTATTCAGGGCTTACTTATCTCAAAGTGTATATGGCCTTTTTTATATGTTGAAATCACTGTACATTCTATAGTTATTTTTATTTAACATTTCCTGTCTTTTCATGTGACAGTATAGTCCATATGCTACTGATGTTAATGGTGTTACTGTATTCTTCCTTTTAAATATACCTTAATTTAATATTTTTTATATTTGACCATTCCTATTGTTTTCCATATTTTCAGTGTAAACGGTCAGGAATTGAGTGTTCCTGAGAAATCATCAGTCCAGGTATAAAGATAGAAATATAAAATGTGTCAATATTTTTCTTTAATAAGGACAAAAAAATCATCTGATTTTTTTTTTAAGAAATAAAATTTAACTACTGTATATAAAAAAGATTTTTTTGAACGATAAAGCTTTATCAGCATGGTAGCCTCCTGCCATTCCATTGTTTTCACAATTGGGTCCTTTTATTTTTTTAATTTAGTTTGAAGCTGTCACATCATTCATTATTCTCTTTCCATCATTACACTGCTGTAAAACTTCTGTAACTGTGCTGTCTAGCATGGTAGCCATTAGCTACATGTGACTTAGTGAATTTTAAATATTTCCTCAGTTGCACTATTCACATTTCAACTGTTCAGTAGTCACATGTGTCTGTTAGCTACTGTATTGGACAGTGCAGATATATAGAATAGTTCTGACCAACAGAATGGAAAGTTCTCTTTGTCAGGGCTATTCTATAATATACCGTCTTCGAGTCTTCATAGTCTATAAATACTAACAGTCACTTTTTAAGTCATCGAAAACATTTAAGTTAGCAAAACCTACTTTAAGTTTGAGCATCACCTCTTATAAAAAATATACATATTTGGTTGCTGAAACTTATCCTTGTGACTGTTCCTTTAAACATTTCATCAGACAGGATTTAGGAAGATAATTCATCATTTATTGCTCCATGTCCCCTTTCACCAGTCACTCCTATATTGTTAGCCTCAAGGGGGCTCAGGTAGAAGAGGGGCAAAGTCCCAGAGCAATTTACATTCCCTTTAAAGCCAGTATAGGACTAATGCTACTACTCCATGAATTAAAGAATTGTTCTTGACTCATTCTGCCCTTCTACCCTCACCATTGTGGGTAAATATTACTGTGGATAATAGAATATAATAATCTATGCTTTTTCCTTAGCTTTGTATGGGACGAGTCTCATAAGAGCAGCTCACCAACAGACAAGCCCAAACTGCTTGCTCTTAGTGAGAATTATGAACTGTTTATCTATGAATTTAATTTGAAAGATGGAAGATGCGATGCAACCATTTTGTATAGCTGTAGTGAGGAGACATTGCAAAAGCTCATTGAAGATCAAAATATCAGTAAGTATTTACAGGTGGTCAGTCTGTGACATCACTGTGAAATCTTATATATTCCAGGAAAACTTCTTATAGAGATGAAATCAGGGAGGGAGATTTGCCTTGTTAAGTACAGTAGCCACTACCCACATGAGGCTTTTGAGCATTTGAAGTGTGGTTAATGTGAATTAAGATGTCCTCTAAGTGTTAAATACGTTCCAGGTTTTGCAGGCTTAGGATCAGAAAGTAAAATATCTCATTCATAGTTTTTTGTATTCATTACACGTTGAAATGCTATTTTGGATATTATGGGGTAAGTAATATATAAAAATTAATTTCACCTGATTCTTTTTTTTTTTTTTGGTGCAACTAGAAAATTTAAAATTCCTTGTGCAGTTCGCATTTGTGACTGATATATTTCTATTGGATAGTGCTGATCGAGACTGGTTACCCAGCTGTTTACTTTATTTCATCCTGAAGGCTGCAGAGAGCAGAAATGAAGCATTCAGGCTTTATATTTAAGCAGTAGCATACTCGACACACTTGATTTTAAGGTTCCTTCTTTTTCTTTTTTAGATTTTTTTATTTTTAAGTAATCTCTACACCCAACGTGGGGCTCGAACTCACAATGGAAGAGTCACATGCTCTAGTAGCTGAGCCAGACAGGTGCTCCCCCATCTTGTTAAAAAAAAAAAAAAAATCTGTGATTGTTCTTGTGAGGTTCCCAGGATAAGTAGGGTTTTTTTTGTTTTTGTTTTCTTTAATCTTCTTGTGTACTATCAGACTTGGACCATAAACAGAAGGAACAGAGATATTGTAGGCTACCTTTATTCATCCCCCTACCTACCTACCAGTGACCACTTGATTAGGTGGGTATGGGCAATAACTGTCTAGAGTCGGACTAAGTGCTATTTCTTCTTCACTTGATCTGTTTATGATATGTTTACAAGATCAAAATTGCCAACTGTAAAATTGTGACCAGTGAGTTTGAAATACTATGCTTTTGTTTCCTAGGTATTTCCATATTGTCTTTGAGAATTCTGTCATTTCATGATAACACTTCACTATTGCTCATCAACAAATGTATCATCGTACACCTTATATTTCCTGAAAGAGATGCTGAGGTTGGAGTATGCAGCTGTTTTACATTACCCTTGCCTGCACAGGCAGTGGACAGGATTATTGACACGCAGCTCTGCAGAGGAATTCTCTTTGTTTTGAGTAGTTTAGGCTGGATCTGTATCCTTGGCAGTAAAGATGTGGATGTGCAGGGGAGGAGAATGCCTTAAAGGATGAGCCTTTTTTAGGTTTTTAGTTTTAGGGACTGGTATATAAGTAGAATTGTTAGATTTTCAGTATAATTCAGGGAAAAAGATCTTTATGAACTTGAAATACTCAACTATATTGTTTTGTATTCCATTCAAGTATTTTTTAGTACATACATTTTTTTCCATAGTCATAATATTACAACTTGTGTTCTTTTTATTTTTTTTTATTTTAAATTTTTTTTTCAACGTTTTTTTTATTTATTTTTGGGACAGAGAGAGACAGAGCATGAATGGGGGAGGGGCAGAGAGAGAGGGAGACACAGAATCGGAAACAGGCTCCAGGCTCTGAGCCATCAGCCCAGAGCCTGACGCGGGGCTCGAACTCATGGACCGCGAGATTGTGACCTGGCTGAAGTCGGACGCTTAAACCGACTGCGCCACCCAGGCGCCCCACAACTTGTGTTCTTTTTAAATTATATATGCTCTATATTACCCATTTATTCAAAACATGCTTATTAAATATCTACTATGTGCTTGTTCCAGAAAGGATTTAGAGGGCTGCTTATGATGTGATGCATACATTTTCATATATGAATATAATCTCCTTATATGATGATTCCATCATATTAGTGAATCATATGGTTTGCTTAACTACTTTTAATTTGGTTTTGGAAACATTACAGTTTTTGTTTCCAGCAGATCTGTAGATCAGATCATCAGCAAAATTGTTTTGAAGACTTGAAAAATGACCCCTTATATGATTTTGGAACTTTTATTTCTGAATTAAAGGGATGGTTTGTCTATTTTAGATATAAA